GCTTGTAGCAGATATTTCATCTGAATATCGAAAGGGTGTTGTCGCTTTTATTTACACTACCGAAGCCTTAGAAACACTTAGCTGTTAATCTGCCGAACATAGTCACCAAACCAACGACTCTCCGCGACCGACGTTGCTTAACATCGCCTGATTCGTGACCAGTTTTAATGTCATATAACTGGAATATTGTTGAGTGCGGCGTTAGCCAAACAAACAAACCTGTTGATAAGTGCACAGGACCACTTGCCACCTGTCTGGATCATGTCTGTCCCGATCTACACCTTCCGGATGTTACCGGCCGACATCTCTTGTAACGGTACTCTCTAGATCAAAGATCTTTCCCTTTAAGCTCTATTTGTTTGTTTGTTTGTTTGTTTGTTTGTTGTTTAACGCTGCACTCAGCAACAGCGGTCTGTAAATAATCGAGTATGGACCAGACAATCCAGTGACTGACTTTATGAGCATCAATCCACACAATTGGGATACGGTGACATGCATCAACCAAGTCAGCGAGTCTGACCAGCCGATCCCGTTAGGCGCCTCTTACGACAAGCATAGTCGCCTTTTTACGGCAAGCGTGGGTTGCTGATGACCTAATCTAACCCCGGATCTTCACGTGTCTATTACCTAATAGTATAAGAAGTAACATTTAAAGACTTTCATGAAATATGAACGTTTGTAGAAGGATAGCATGAACACTGAGCCTTCTGAAATGTGAGGAGGTTTAACGTCGCGTTCAAGAATATTGCCCCGTGTGTGCGTGCTTGCTTGCGTGCGTGCGTGCGTGCGTGCGTGTTTCTGCTTGTACTAGTCCGGACTAATGACCAGTTTATAGCCCTCTGAGTTACCAAACTGCAGTTTAGCATGGATACCCCACTCAGGCACTCAGACTCCGAGCCGACAAGTTCTTGTTTTATCACTTCTGAATGCAGAGCGCAAGGCAGGGTAACAACAAGTACCATCTCTCTAACGTCTTGTGTTATGACGCGGCTCGGGGTCGAACATTCCGCTTTCCGGGCAGACGTTAGATACCCACTAGACCACGGAGGCGGTCACCTAATGAAATGACACACCCATTCACAATAAAGTGAAATTGTACATGAAACAAAATGCAACAATGCGAATTAAACCTATAGATATAAAAATAAAATATAATAATTGCTTTAATAACTCTTTTGTACGGCTTTGCGGCTTGTCAGGTGACAGGGCAACATCTCACCGGAACACGTGTTTAAGAGCAATTAAACAAAATCTACATGTTTTATGCGCGCACAACGAAAGTTTGTTTGATGACATTTTACATCCTGTTTAAATCCATATGGATGACAGGATGTCTTGTGTTGCAATACTTTCTGACAAAGGTCAAGGTCGTTTTCAAGGTGAGTTTTCAAGAACGTCTCTGCTGAATATGTCAGCATGTGAGATGGAGTTTTCCATAAGATCTAGACATTAAGACATGGCGTTACCTGTGCACTTCTACATACATGTCACACGCTTATACCTGGACATGTGGGGCGGTGGCAATAAAGGGTTAATGGGAAAGGCCCGGTTCGATTTCCCACATGGGTACAATATGTGAAGCCCATTTCTGGTATTCTCCGTCGTGATACTGCTGGAATATTGCTAAACAGACATAACATCGCAGTATCGACATATACACATTCCCCTAATATAAGCATATGTTCGACACATGAACGTTTCTAAATTAGGCGCACATTTTGCTGTACCCCGGTACGTTTATGCTACAATATGCCAGCACTCACTCACTCACTCACTCACTCACTCACTCACTCACTCACCCACCCACCCACCCACCCACCCACTCACTCACTCACTCACTCACTCACTCACTCACTCACCCACCCACCCACCCACCCACTCACTCACTCACTCACTCACTCACTCACTCACTCACTCACTCACTCACTCACTCACTCACTCACTCACTCACTCACTCACTCACTCACTCACCCACTCACTCACTCACTCACTCACTCACTCACTATTAATAATTCACCCCTTTCCGATTGCCTAACATCAACAGCGGTGAATGAGTTGGCTGTTTATGCCGCTATCGGCAATATTCTTACAATTCACGGCGGAGGGACACAAGAAATGGGCTTCACGAGTTGTACCCATGTTAGGAATCAAACCGGGACCTTTTGTGTGACGCGCGAACGCTTTAACCACAAGGCTACCACTAGGCTGTCACTAACAAGACTCAGATGTAAATAGGGGGGCATGGGTTGCCCAGTCGTCTAAGGCGCCGCGATTCGCTGTGCAGAGTTGCGTCTCTTGGGCACGCCAGAAACCTATGATTGTGGGTTCGAATCCCGGTTCGCCCCGATTATGTTTCTAGGTTTGTCAGCACCATACCCGTGCTCGTGGGTTTCACCGAAGTGGTAAACGTCTGATACCTGCATCACTTCTGGCTTTCCTCCCACATTAAGCTGACACGCCGCGATATAACTGGAATACTGTTAAAAGCGGCGTTTAACCCAACTCACTCACTCACTCACTCACTCAGATGTAAATAGATGAATATGTCCCACGTCAGGCGTTAAATATGTGCCGAGCGTTGCTGCCCATGTGATAACACTCAAGTATATCATGTACAACAGCGTTATACAGCTTCACATCTCCAACAACCGAACAAAGTACTACAAATGAATTAACGGTGTTGGAGTGTGTGTATTAGAATCGGTGGCAGCCGTCGACGCATAACAGATAGGTTGTCATGGAAGCTGTTCATCAACAAGACAAATGGTGTGGGAAGGACAACCACTTCATTGTCTTAATCCATTACCATTGTCTGTCCTCCTAAAGTCCACTGTGGGTCAGACAGGTGAAATCTAATTTCCCATATGAAGGATTGCCTCTATGCGGTGTAGCGGTCAGGATGTGACTGTATTACGGCCTTCAAACTAATAGTCAGTGTATTATGTATTTGCGAGGATTATACTCCCGGTAACAGAGGGCTTAATGTTGAATTTATTCAAATAGTGAGTGTCACATCCCATGTACAGTCCATATCCTGTAGTTGATCTTATACAATGTGTAGTGGCAACCTACCACTGGGACCTGCTGTGATGTAAACAGACAAAATATACTACATGGAAACATGTGAAACGGCAAATACAGCTATTAAGAAGGATGATAGTGTTCTTATACAATACGGCCCGTGAAGATCCTGGGTAGAATAGGTCTTCAGCAACCCATGCTTGTCGTAAAAGGCTAATATACTTATCGTAAAAGGCGACTAACGGGATCGGGTGGTCAGGCTAGCTGACTTGGTTGATTGCATATCATCGATCCCAATTGCGTGGATCGATGCTCATGTTGTCAATCACTGGATTGTCTGGTCCAGACTCGATTACTTACAGACCGCTGTCATATAGCTGGAATATTGCTGACTTCGGCGTTAAACAACAAACAAACAAACTTATACAATACTTTACTATTCAGATGTATGTGGAGGTAAATGTACACACCTCTACTATCGCAATAAGGAAAATATACAATATCTCTTACTGAGATATGTGGGACGGTATATATGCAGCATTCTTTTATTAAACGTGGGACGGTAAATATGCATTATTGTTTTATCAAATCTTGTGGCACGGTAAATAGGTAATATATAAGTAACAGTACTATCGAGACATGTGGTAACTATTCATTACTCTACTATTTTGACATGTCGTGAGGTGTATTAGACAGTTCATATCCTGTAGATGATCTTGTGCAATGTGACGGTAAATACAACTGCCCCGCTGCATGGAGGGTGTATACATCCATCAAGGCATGTCGTGTCCAAGTCTCCATGGCTGCTTCGGTACAGGAAGAGAATTAAATCCGTATCGTGTCTCGCCATGTACCATCGTGCCAAACCGTCTTCCGTCGTGCCACATTATGCCCCAATGTCTCCCACCTTGTCCAGTCATGTTGCATGGTGTTCCGCTGAATTCAAACGTACCATGACTCACCGTGACCCACCCTGTCCCAATATGTCCAACCGTTCCCCACCCTGTCAAACCGTTCCCCACCCTGTCCCACCGTTCCCTACCCTGTCCAACCGTTCCCTACCCTGTTCCAACATGTCAACCGTTCCCCACCCTGTCCCAACATGTCCAACCGTTCTCCACCCTATCACAACACGTCCCGCCGTTCCCCATCCTGTCCCACCGTTCCCCACCCTGTCCCACCGTTCCCCACCCTGTTCCAACATGTCAACCTTTCCCCACCCTGTCCCAACATGTCCAACCGTTCTCCACCCTATCACAACACGTCCCGCGGTTCCCCATCCTGTCCCACCGTTCCCCACCCTGTCCAACCGTTCCCCACCCTGTTCCAACATGTCAACCGTTCCCCACCCTGTCCCAACATGTCCAACCGTTCTCCACCCTATCACAACACGTCCCGCCGTTCCCCATCCTGTCCCACCGTTCCCCACCCTGTCCCACCGTTCCCCACCCTGTCCCACCGTTCCCTACCCTGTCCCAACATGTCAACCGTTCCCCACCCTATCACAACACGTCCAACCGTTCTCCACCCTATCACAACACGTCCCGCCGTTCCCCATCCTGTCCCACCGTTCCCCACCCTGTCCCACCGTTCCCCACCCTGTCCCACCGTTCCCTACCCTGTCCCAACATGTCCAACCGTTCCCCACCCTATCACAACACGTCCCGCCGTTCCCCATCCTGTCCCACCGTTCCCCACCCTGTCCCACCGTTCCCTACCCTGTCCCAACATGTCCAACCGTTCCCCACCCTATCACAACACGTCCCGCCGTTCCCCACCCTGTCCCACCGTTCCCCACTCTGTCCCACCGTTCCCTACCCTGTTCCAACATGTCAACCGTTCCCCATCCTGTCCCAACATGTCCAACCGTTCCCTTATCCTGTCCCACCGTTCCCCACCCTGTCCCACCGTTCCCCACCCTATCACAACACGTCCCGCCGTTCCCCACCCTGTCCCACCGTTCCCTACCCTGTCCCAACATGTCCAACCGTTCTCCACCCTATCACAACACGTCCCGCCGTTCCCCATCCTGTCCCACCGTTCCCCACCCTGTACCACCGTTCCCTACCCTGTTCCAACATGTCAACCGTTCCCCACCCTGTCCCAACATGTCCAACCGTTCTCCACACTATCACAACACGTCCCGCCGTTCCCCATCCTGTCCCACCGTTCCCCACCCTGTCCCACCGTTCCCCACCCTGTTCCAACATGTCAACCTTTCCCCACCCTGTCCCAACATGTCCAACCGTTCTCCACCCTATCACAACACGTCCCGCGGTTCCCCATCCTGTCCCACCGTTCCCCACCCTGTCCAACCGTTCCCCACCCTGTTCCAACATGTCAACCGTTCCCCACCCTGTCCCAACATGTCCAACCGTTCTCCACCCTATCACAACACGTCCCGCCGTTCCCCATCCTGTCCCACCGTTCCCCACCCTGTCCCACCGTTCCCCAACCTGTCCCACCGTTCCCCACCCTGTTCCAACATGTCAACCTTTCCCCACCCTGTCCCAACATGTCCAACCGTTCTCCACCCTATCACAACACGTCCCGCCGTTCCCCATCCTGTCCCACCGTTCCCCACCCTGTCCCACCGTTCCCCACCCTGTCCCACCGTTCCCTACCCTGTCCCAACATGTCAACCGTTCCCCACCCTATCACAACACGTCCAACCGTTCTCCACCCTATCACAACACGTCCCGCCGTTCCCCATCCTGTCCCACCGTTCCCCACCCTGTCCCACCGTTCCCCACCCTGTTCCAACATGTCAACCGTTCCCCACCCTGTCCCAACATGTCCAACCGTTCTCCACCCTATCACAACACGTCCCGCCGTTCCCCATCCTGTCCCACCGTTCCCCACCCTGTCCCACCGTTCCCCACCCTGTCCCACCGTTCCCTACCCTGTCCCAACATGTCCAACCGTTCCCCACCCTATCACAACACGTCCCGCCGTTCCCCATCCTGTCCCACCGTTCCCCACCCTGTCCCACCGTTCCCTACCCTGTCCCAACATGTCCAACCGTTCCCCACCCTATCACAACACGTCCCGCCGTTCCCCACCCTGTCCCACCGTTCCCCACTCTGTCCCACCGTTCCCTACCCTGTTCCAACATGTCAACCGTTCCCCATCCTGTCCCAACATGTCCAACCGTTCCCTTATCCTGTCCCACCGTTCCCCACCCTGTCCCACCGTTCCCCACCCTATCACAACACGTCCCGCCGTTCCCCACCCTGTCCCACCGTTCCCTACCCTGTCCCAACATGTCCAACCGTTCTCCACCCTATCACAACACGTCCCGCCGTTCCCCATCCTGTCCCACCGTTCCCCACCCTGTACCACCGTTCCCCACCCTGTCCCAACATGTCGAACCGTTCTCCACCCTGCCCCAACATGTCCAACCGTTCCCTTATCCTGTCCCACCGTTCCCCACCCTGTCCCATGGTTCCCCACCCTATCCCATCCTGTCCCACCGTTCCCCACCCTGTCCCATCCTGTCCAACCGTTCCCCACCCTGTCCCAACATGTCCAACCGTTCTCCACCCTGCCCCAACATGTCCAACCGTTCCCCCATCCTGTCCCGCCGTTCCCCACCGTGTCCCACTATGTCCCACTGTTTCACGCCGTGACTCACTGTGTCCCAACATGTCCCATAATTGCCCACTGGGACTGCAGTATCCCACCGTGTATGAAAAAACAAAATTGACAAAGTCTGATTGATGAAGCACCCCTGAAATATATTCGTCGCATGGTTTTCCACGTACATATTTCAACATATGAAGACAGGAATGAGACAAAACACGTCGCCAGCTTCGGTAGTATGTGCTAACATTTGTGTGATCATGTCTTACCAGGTCGCTCCGACAATACCTGCAAGTACAACACGTATAATAAAGATAATATGGAGGCTAGACTACAACCCTTTACAACATCGCAGTATGGGGGACAGGAATGTTACAAACTACCAACACGTGATAAAGCTACGTTTATCATGTTTCTGAAGGCTGAGCATTATTTACCTGCTGCTTCGGGTAAGTATACGATATATGAACGTGACGAGAATTAGCTTTGTCTCTCACAGGCAATGTCAACTGTTGGCATCGTGTGAAATAAATAGCCTCAAACTTTCCGTGGATACCTGTACTCTGTTTAAGTACGAGACTGTCAACGCTATGTCAAGGACGCGACGCCACACTGTTCCATAGCACATGGTGCGTGTTGCACGGGACTATAACGGTACATCATTTTGATGTGTAATTGATAATAAAATGTCCATTTCATTTGTGTCGTGATTTGTAGACAGTATAGGAGGAATGGCGACCGATTGCAAGCATCTAGTTTCATGGTAAATGTACATGTCACAACGTCACTCAAAGCGATATGAACTCGGTGTCATATAACGATTCAGAGAAGCTAGATTGAAGTATCCTACTTAAAAGAAGTTAAAGAACACCCGACATTTTTATATATGAACTCGGTGTCATATAACGATTCAGAGAAGCTAGATTGAAGTATCCTACTTAAAAGAAGTTAAAGAACACCCGACATTTTTATATATGAACTCGGTGTCATATAACGATTCAGAGAAGCTAGATTGAAGTATCCTACTTAAAAGAAGTTAAAGAACACCCGACATTTTTATATGACTTTAGTTACTATATGATGGCTGATGGGCATTGCTCACACAGCCTTCCAAATGTAACTTGTTTTGAGAGTATATGACAAGTAATGCACACCGGTTGACACTACAGACACAGAGAGAAAAGGAGAGAGCGAGAGAGGGAGAGGCAGGGACAGAGACAGAGACTGAGAGAGAGAGGGGGGACAAAGACAGAGACTGCGAGAGAAGGGAGAGAGAGACAGGGACAGAGAGAGAGAGAGAGAGAGAGAGAAGAGAAAGACAGGGGAGAAAGAGAGGGGGCAGAGACAAAGACTGAGAGAGAGAAGAGAGAGAGACAGAGAGAGACAAAGACTGAGAGAGAGACAGGGAGAGAGTGAGGGACAGAGACAGAGACAGAGAAAGAGAGAGAGGGAGGGAAAGAAACAGGGGCAGAGACAGACTGAGAGAGAGAAAAGAGAGAGCGAGGGACAGAGACTGAGAGAGAGAGGGACAGAGACAGAGATAGAGACTGCGAGAGAAGAGGACAGAGACTGAGACTGAGAGAGAGAGAGAGAGAGAGAGAGAGAGAGAGAGAGAGAGAGAGAGAGAGAGATGGTTTATGTGGTATGCACGTGGTTAAAGTTTTAGGGTATTCTTGTCATCTCTTTTCACCCCTTCAGCCCAGGGTTCGATATCCGACATTCATGAGCATACTCTATGCCAGACATATCGCTACAAACGTAAACCAATTTTCAATCTACTTACTTCTGTCATTGAACAATTGAAGGAGCAACGTTAATGCTTAACAATTAGCCTCAGGTACACACATGGTTATGAGTTAATGTTTGAAAGAAACAATCATCAAGACTTGAGTACCTTTAAAGTATTAATTCTCTTATCATTTCAACAATCCGTAATGTGGTGGTTTTGGTTAAAGAATAACGATCCGCCCGTCAATTTCGGCCATTGTATGCTTGGTTATCAAACACAAGAAAGATTTATCTGTTATGCCATATTACAAGATACAGCCAATAATTGATTGTAGTATCTCTGTAATCACTCGGAAGTTTGGCCATGTATAGATAACACAACTGATTAGTAATGTGAATGACGTATGTTTACTAAATTATTCTTTGTGGTGTTTGAACAATGGGATGTGTTATCAGACCCGGAGACGCGGGAACGATGTACGGGGTTAACGTTAACGAGCAGTAAGTTTTCAACGTGCGGTATGTTTGTATAACACTTACACTCAACAAAATCTGACGTTACAGAAAATGAGGAAGTGACGATGTTTTTACGCCCAATTTAGCAAACATATTTCTGTAAAATCAGGACACATAATCATTGGACCTCCGCCGGAAAGGTTTCAAATGTATTAATATCATAACGACCAACGGTACATGCCGGAAGTACCGGAAACAAAGGTAGTCATCACGTAGACTCACTGATCGGCAGAAGCTCTAGGACAAACTCTGTCGTCACTATTCTCTACCATATTCAAATCTATTTAACCACAGCAGATAGGTGGAACTAGGTTTGATCCAGTCTCACATAGACATGAAATGAAAATGCAGATGCACTAGCAAAGCGGGATCTAGACATAGCGGAATAAGGCACATTTCCTCCAGCAAACTAGAAATGAAAAACACATAGGCCCAAGATTACAGCCCAATGGTACAGAAGACAATCCGGCCATACAATATTAAACGCCATCGTTCACTTGTATCTCTGGAATCTCAAGGTCACCGTGTGTCTCAGTTAAAATGGAATTGCAGGTACCATATATCGCAGATCCCCTAAAGCCAGGAAACAGTTGCGAAGGTGAAACGAACTATTTCTGAAAGATGGTCAACATACCCAATGCTCGAACATAATTATATAACTAACCACAGCAGCCAAAGATATTTCCTAAAACAGACACCATATCAAACGAAACCACAGATCATTTCACTAAATACGAAAATAGAAATCGTATCAATACTAAAATCTAAAATACTTGCCTGGCTGGTCTGTTTAATGTCTTTTTTTTATGAGAACGTTTACACAATACACAATAGACAGTATGGGTACATTGATTGAGACAAGGATGTGTGAAGAGGGTGGACGTAGTAGTATATATAACAGTTGTTATCCGCGTCTCTTCCACCCACTGTGCCCCTAGCTTTGGGTTAATTCTTTCGTGAAACTATGGCAATTGCTTCCTCAATCCCCTCGAGGGGCGATTGGGTAGCCTACTGGTAAAAGCGTTCGCTCGTCACGCCGAATACCCGGGTTCGATTCCCCACATGGGTTCAATGTTTAAAGCCGTTTTTGCTTCCACCGCCGTGATATTGCGGCAATATTGCTAAAAGCGGTGTAAACCGTTGGATTCCACCGTGAAATATATGACCCCCTCCTCCTCAGCCCTAACGTCGTTAAGATTTTAGGCAGAATTTGGGGGGGGGGGGGGGGGGGGGGCATGATTAATTTTTACCTAAAAAAATCTTAATGTAACTGGTCTTAACGATATTCCTAAATAACAAAGTAGACTCAATTTAAGGATAACAACGTTTATATTTTTCTGTTAAGGCGACGTTTCGGTATAGATCTTTATACCGTTGTCTGCGTTGCTCGACATCGGTATAAGGATCTATACCGAAACGTCGCCTTAACAGTAAAATAAAGCAGTTGTTATACACAAATTGTGTCAACCTTGTCATCCATCAACTTCTGAGAAATGCCTATCAAATAATTGATATTCGTAAATAATTTGACATTTTTGCGTGTTTTGCAGCTCATTGTATCCCACCTTTAACCCTGATTTGAAGTACAACGTTATATGAATATTTGGACATATGAGTGGACATTAGTCGGCGAGTTCTTCAAATATCTCCAGAGGTCTTGGCAAGGGTCGGGGGAGCGCGTATTGGAACATGGGTTAATGAGGGGCAAAGCGCCACCTGCTGGAATGTGGCGCGTTAAGAAGTCACCGTCCAACGACAAACAGCGGCGCAAGACAGGGATAGATTTTGTTGACATGCGCACAGGTTTGTAGAACAATTACAGTTGACAGCCCGCGGTCTGTGCTGGCTACCTGTTACACAGCCTGTTCAGTCGTCTTCAACATTACGGCGTCTACTGTGACGCGAATCCCATTCCGGATTTTCTCTCCGTCCAGGTTTTGCTCCGGATTTTAACAAGGTCCGTCAGAGCAAAACTGTCGTCTGCTACCGACGCAGCAGAAGCGGGCAGCTGATCGGAGGGCTCGTACACTTCCCAAAGTAACAGAAGTGGATTTAGTAGCTTTGAAACAATACTTATGCTGATGAGTTTTGGATGTAAACGAAACAGTGCACTGGACTAAAGCTCTCCATCAACAACACGACCGCAATGTGGGGCCTGCTTCAAAGTGCTGTGATTCTCTGTGTTGTGGCTACAGGAAACGGACAAGGTACGTTTTCGCATTATTTTAGAACAATTCGGAATCAACATCCTGAGTTTTTTAAAATGTCAACGGATTTATCATGTGACTTTATCACAAAAGAGACTGAAAGTTTTTCGCAAAGTACCTCATTCATGCTTCCATATGCATATTATGAATGTGATTAATCAACCTCGCTGTGCCATAGTAACACCGAGTAATGGTTTAAGGGACTAGTGCGTAAGTCAGAATATGGGACTCATCAAAATTCATATAATCCACCACATTGCAATATCTGCATGAGCGCATGTTTTGAATCAAGGTCGAACCTTATGGGTTGAGCAAATGCAAATGAAAGAATTGAAGTCCGAAGACAGCAATTCGGTATATACCACACGACAACGGTCAAATATCTGTGACAAAGTAGTAAGAGGGACTAAGTGTTAGTTGGCATTTGACTTAATATCAAAATATTTATATAACATCCAGTACTTTAAGTCAATATATCTTATCATCCATTAAGAAATCTGAAAGACTCAACGGCATTATCAAATGAAATATTCGAAATGGGTAATAATATAGATATATATTATAGAAGAAAATAAATTATGCCAAGAAATTTAACAGCTAAAAGGTTTCGTGCTCCAGTGTGTGTTCATATATGTTATTTTTTTAAAAGCATCACATATCAGAGGTGATTACGGGCCTTGATTGCTTCCATTCTCACTTTTCCTGGTGTTAAACAATCGTATTTGTTTTAAGTGAGGGCTATTACAAGGTGTCGAGTGAAAACATTGCACCGACGTTTTGCCTTTGCCGTTTGGAGATGAAAATGCCTAATTATAGCGTTATGTGTTGACTTGACTCAGTGTGTGAAAGTCTCCACAGTTGTCTAGGTCAGCTTTTAACCACTGTACATCGGCTTGAGTTACAGATAGCAAATAAAAGATATCTAATATTAATACTCTCAAAAGACTGTCGCGTGGCATCTGATCCAGATTTCTAAGAAAAGACGCACACACAGCTTTTGTCCGAATGTGCACTCGTTGCAAGATTTTATTGGGATTTGAGGCCTTTTCCGTTTAACTGTTGTACGTAACGTTTACGGTATTCAATTTGGCTATCCAGTGTGTATACTACCTCAAAAGAAGTTAAATAAAATCCGATTCTTTCAAATTACTAGAGTGAATCTTACTTGCCATGATCAGTCTGCCTTGCCATTGACAGGTTATCTACAGTAATTTAAAATAATCGGGTGTTCTTTAACTTCTTTTGGGTAGTATATATCGATATATAGTAAGAGCATATGATGTACAGCAAAATCATTACAGGGCACAAAGTACAAAAATAGGTGACATTTCTGTCCCACGTTAGCAAGTCCGTTTTTATCATCCATCCCCATTTCATACTGAAATGCGCTAGTAATTGGTTGTCGTCGGTTATAGTGACAGTGTAGTCGGCATGCACTAACGCAGATGTTTCCGTACCGCTCTGTTCTGTCATCCAGGTCAAATGTTACCACAGGTAGTTGAAAATGTTATTTCACGTTATAGTTAGGGTCCTTGCAATCAACAGTTTTGGTTAGGGGTAAAAGTTCAACATAGTCTGGCTTTGAGATTCTGAAGCTTGGGTATGGATGTGTACAAGACGGGCTGTCATCTCCGTCAACACTGCCTAAAGAGCAGCGCGCAGTACAACAAAGAAACCCGGACCTCGCTGCCAGTCAACTTGCTCATGTGAGTGAGTGAGTGATCATGAGTGCCTGCCAGCCAGCTTGCTTATGTGAGTGAGTGAGTGAGTGAGTGAGTGACAGTGTGGGTGGGTGGGTGAGTGAGTGGGTGAGTGGGTGGGTGGGTGGGTGGGTGAGGGAGTGTATAAATGACTATTGCTTAAAACCGCTAGTTCATTGCGATGCTTCATATCAGAAAGAACACTACTCAACACGGTGACTGTGGTGTATTCCTCAGCGAGGGCTTTACGGAAGGCCGACCCCGAGGTTTCTCTTACGTAAAAGGTTGTCATATTGTGTATGTCCCGTGTCCGTCAGAGCGGAATACATTACCATGTTGATTTTTTTTGCATTTCCCACATGGTCCACTATTGTGAGAATATGCGATGAAATATATTTGAGCCGGATATAATGACAATATCCATTCGAGATTTGGTGCAAGAAGAAATAAACAGCTGTTCCCATAAAAGTAAAATATTCAAAACATGATGAAATCAAGAGACAAATCACCGCATTCAACTACATTGGATTTCCAAATTAACATCTATCCAAGTGAATTCGACTACTGTAAATGTGACATGGTTTATCTACGGGGGATGATTCTTGTGGTACTGTCCAAGGTAAATAAAGATTACCCTGAAGGTTACGCCTGTTTTATGGTAGTCTACATTACCCATCTGTCACGTGATGTACCTAGACCTCCATTCCGACAATGGTCCATTGTTTCACGGGACAATCTCATACATCGTCACAGTCCGTCGCAACAAGGTGTCTCTCAAATATCCAAGGAGATGTGTCGCTTGTATGACTGGTGTTACTGTCGTCGGATAAGTCAACAAGTGTAATTTCTTTTGATTTCTTTTTATCCTTTTCATCTCTATTTCAATTCTTTCCTGTTTTTAAGATACATCTTTAAATTGCAATACAAGACTGTTTCTGGAAACATGTGGTTTATGTAAAACAGGAGAGAGGGAGACACGCACAATCAATACTAAACATTTGTCTTCCTTCCGTTGCATGACGATGATCAATATTTCATTTCAAAATATATTTCAAAAACGAATTGATTTGAATTTTGTTTTAATTCTTCTCGTGTTTGTTCAGTGATTTTTTTGTTAAGTTAGTAGATGGGGTTATGTATGATGTTTTTTGCCAAGGATAATCTAATCACTATCCCATGAACATATATATACCAGTGCATATATATACCAGTGCAGGCAACATACACTGTGATTCTTATATATTTCTTACAATGGAAATATTTTGTAAAGACAATTGTGGCGGCTGTTCCGACGACCAAATAGTTTGTTTTGGTCATATCTTCACAAAAAGATAAATTAATCTTGACAAATCTTCTCATCATCACATCACTACAATTCCTAATAGAAGTGCCAGTTGTGGTGTACACCTTTACTTCATACAAATAGCTTCTCATATTGGCATGCAACTGTTCAGCTGCATTTAAAATTAATAAATGTAAGTTCACAATTCAAGTACACTAGTTCCTGTCCTCCAGCTACGTAACAGTGTGTATTAGACCAGTACCTCTCTTTAAAATGTTAATGTATAATATAATAATTAAGGATGATGACTAAGAAAGATCACGCCGGGATGGATTCGTCAAATAGACACAATGCATGAACTGTGCATGTAACGACATCAGCATGATGGTCACGCTTTCCGCTGTTCATGTCTGGTTGCATATGTCTGGTTAATAAATAGGTCTCAAGATATGAAGTATGTAAATGTGGCATTTGGGGGAGGTAGGTGTCCTTTAACATGTGATCAAGAAGATCTGGGCTTAACCCATCACCTGCGTATGACAATAACAATGGCTTCGAACCTCACTACCTACTGTTCTTTTTTAAACAGTCGCTGATCAATGGCGCGTCCACTATGTACACTTGTCAAAGCACAGCCTCAGGTTCATGGCAGAAACAGCATTGCTGTTTATTTCCCAGCAGGACGATATTCTCGTATTAGGATTTGTTTCATGTGCATTTTTCACATCCCTTCTAAAAAGTCATCCACAGTTCAGTACATTCATATATTCACTGTATATGCACACATCGGTGGATAGATGTGCAGCTAACATTCACTATGGATTCTTTCACCAGTGTCATGTAAGCTCACTAAAATGAAATGTAGAATGTTGAACAATGTGTTTGAAGAAAGTAGCCTACAGTTCTGATCGCACAGACTCGGGTTTCCCTCTCGATACATTAAACCGTCACGACGTAATATAACTGCAATACTGTTCAAAGCGGAGTTAAACCGAACTTACTCACACACTCTGATAACACATTGTTAGTCACATTCTAAAAGAGGTAATTACCTTTTCAAAGAGTGGTCATACTCCTTGAGATCACAAACAAAACAAATAATTCAAACACAACTACTTCATACTGGCTTTTCATTTGATACATCATACTTTGGAGGCGCCGAGTGAACACCAGAACGCGACATTAAACTGGAGTCACCACCCTGCATCCCAAGTCAATACCGTGTACGTTCCTTCAAAATCACGATAACAATGTGAAAGAATGCAAGGCCATTAACATCACTGCCAACAGTACACAGTGGTATAAAAAGGCTAAAACAACTACTGGTGGACATGGAGGTATGTTGTGGGCTGCTCTGAGTTACTTTCAGAGTTCAATCAGTTTTGGAATAATTATCAACCCTGATTTAACGTGACAGAATTTCTGTACTTTTTAATCAAGGTATCCAAGATTCCACATTTTGCCGAAATGGTCATGTTAACGGTTCCTTAAATACAAGGAAACACAATTGGTATAATGAGCTAGTTTTAGATGTGAGTGACTTCATGTTAAAAAGACAAGGTTAGATATCACTACTGTGCTCTTAAGCATTGTCACATATGCACTGTTGAGAAATACAAAGGTAATATCTAGCTGTACGTATACATGTCTCCGGTAGTCACGTTTTAGGAGATAGCTAAGATAACTTAGAAACAATGTTAATGTAAGAACTTTGCCATGTCATCGAGATCATGGTGAGTTCAGCACAAGGAGAGCTGAGGTACAAAAACTAACTGTTTGTTTTTATCATACAGACGTGTCATATTCTCCCAAAGTGACATGTATATGCTTATGCTGACACCAGAACCGAACCTGCTATATTTACTATGTGGAATAAAATATGACATATGACAAAGCCGGTTGAGCAAATACTGGGCTGTGGATAGAGATACATCAGGCAGGTGCTGCAATTAACACAGGTAGCGAAACAACGCTCACGTCATATCTAGACAAAGGTCGAGAAGCAAAGCCTGCGCAGG